TTTATTAAATTTAAAGAGAAATTTTTGTTTTCTTTTTGGGCCACCCTGCCTCTGTGGAATATGGCCAGTTGTTGACAGAGATAAATTTGCTGTAATTCAGTTTCAGCAATGTTTTGTTTACATTATTTTTCTAATGTGCTCTGTGTTTATTAAATTAAGATAGAAAATTTTTCAGCTTGTTGATTTGGTAGATGATGTCAAGATGCTCATCACGTCCCTAGTGGGAGAGAGAGTATTTGAGATAATCTTCAATAGTCTCTCCAAGGTAACTATCAGTGCACAGTTTCATGCATTCACATGTATAGTAATGGATTTTTCATAACAAAAATTATTTATAAGATCAGTTTTAATTATTATTATTTTTTTTTTTTTTTGAGTAAAGATTGCTTCCTATTATTATACTGCATATTACAGCATATGTAAAGTCTTAATGGGAAATATTGTATAGGATTGGATAGCAGCATAATGTATGCATATAAACAATCTCCTGATGGATAATTTTTGTTTTTGTTTCAATAGGTGGCTACCACCCTACCATATCCCTTCTATGAGGAGCTGGTAGGAATATCTGCATTCTCAGAATTGCCATTGAGCATTGTCACATTGTACAACATTTTCTATGAAGCATTAACACTCTGCACTTCTATTATTGCTCAGGGTCCTAATGGGCAGTTGTATCATGGTAGAAATCTGGATACTGGAGTATTTCTGGGGTTTGTATTCTGTATTTCATTTTGTCTCTGCTACATTACTCAGTTAAAAGTTAGGCGCTGTATCACCACCAGATGTGTCCTCTGGTTGCATCCTCTGGATATGAAAGAAAAGTACTAGCTGCATTCTTTCTTTTGTAAAAAAAAACTTCACACTCTTTACACTTTATAAGTAAAGAATTGGGCATTTTCAAAAATGTAATGGATAAGAAATAAAATATACAGTTTATATGAAATATACCAAAGTGAAAATAGGAAATAAAACCTGAGTACTTTCATGTGCTTACATGCACATCTTCTGAAGTGAGTGTGTAAGCACATGAAAGTGCTCAGGTTTTATTACCCATTTTCACTGTTATTTTTTCATATTTACAATTGCATGTTTTATTGTGATTTCTTCCGTACAGTGTATATGTACAGTATGTATACATGTTCAATGCACTGTATTGTAAATGTATACATATGCACTATTGTTGAAGTGTCCTTCAGTTTATGAGATCCATGCATTCCAGGCCCATGGCAGCTGTACTAAGCTCACTTCAGTGAGGTCAGTGTATGCAGTCTCATTGGTGCATACAGTGAGTGTATAGTGTACCTGTATACATTTATACTATGTACATGTGCTATACAGTACATATATGGTTGTTAGGGAAACAATTGAAAAATACTTATCTGATTAATGGAAAGGTAAAAAATTTATATTTAAAAAGTAAAATTGTGTACAGTATTGAATTTTTATATAATACAGTAGTCCCCCCATATCCATGGGGATACATTCCAAGACCTACTGTAAATGCCCAAAACTACAGATAGTGGCAAACTATGATAGTTTTATTGATAAATTATGCACAATAAGTTGAGAATTAGGACTTTCACTGATGGGAAGCATCACTACTTTTGCTCTTTGGGGGCCATTATTAAGCAAAGTTAAGGGTTATTTTTTGCCACAGTAAACTGCAGATAACTGAAACTGTGGAGACTGAATCCACTGATATGGGGGTTCTACTGTATGTATATAAAAAATGAATGGAAAAAAAGAGGTGGGTGGGGGGTCATACAGTTAATCTTCTGATAGTATAGTAAAACTTTGTTAATTATGGGGAATATGTCCTCAAAGCCAACTTAGTAATGTAGCAAAAAAAAAAATAGTTTAAATATTCTAAACCTATAATGATGAGGCAAAGTTGTCCAGATAGCCGTAGCGCATACGATGTAATGCATTGATGACTTGTTAAAGTCAAATTATTCGGGCCTTGATGCATAAGAGTTGACACCAAACAAAGACAACAAGCTCAGTTTTTCAACCAACTTTCTCCTGCTCACCTTCCCTGCTATTCTTGTGCTTAGAAGACATGATAGTTGAGCAATAACCAAGGATAACACAGTAATTTATGTACAACTTTACACCTAAAGCAGTTAAATCCTTGTGTGTGGAACAAAATAATGTATCCACTATAGCAAATTAAAACAAGCCAGGTCATCAGAGAGCAGTCTTGCTCTGGGGTTTATATTGCAGGCATGGAGAAATATACAATGTGTCTGGTTTTTCCTAAATGTTAAAATTTCATGTGAAAAAAATATAAAATACACAACTACAGTACTTTATTAATATAGTGCATAACTGGCTACCCTCAGGACCTATGATCTGTGAAAAGTTTAAACATTTTGGGTCCAGTTTCTGTGAGGGCTTGAATTGCAGTTAAATACTGTATGTGGCTAATAATAAGGTTGTGCTGTACTTAAACTAAAATTCTACAGCACTTTTGTGACAAGAGTACTCACAGTCTTAATTGTCAGATGGGACAAGAAGAACCACACTGGAAAGTTGCTGAGAAGTTGAAGCCACTGACAGTTGAGCTGGACTGGAAGAAAAATGGATCGACACACTTCCGTTCTGTGAGCTTCGCTGGATATGTTGGTGTGCTGACAGCTGTGAAGCAGGTACTGTGTGGCTAAACATGTAATACTGCTTGCTACTGATAACTTCTAGTGAATGAACAAAACACTTTTACTAACACTATTAACCCTTTGACTGTTTCGGTTGTATATATACATCTTATGAGCCAGTGTTTTTGACGTATTTATACTCCAAAATTCTAGCTGCTTCAAATCAAGTGGGAGAAAGCTGGTAGGCCTACATATGAGAGAATGGGTCTGTGTGGTCAGTGTGCGCAATATAAAAAAAAATCCTGCAGCATGCAGTGCAGAATGAGAAAAAAAATTCTATGTTTTTGGATTAAAATGCCGACTTTGTGGTGTATTTTCGTATAGTATTCTCGTTTTCATGGTCTTACTTGATAGAATGGAAGACATTACAGAAATGGAGATGATTTTGATTAGTTTCACGATAAAAGGGCCTTGAAATTGAGTTCAAAGTAGCAGAAATGTTTGATTTTTCCTGATGTTCAAGAGTATACAAATGACATCATTGTCCAGTTAGCCATTCTAATACACAGTCACAAATGGGTTGACATTATTCATACAATTATTACAATAATGCAGTAGTCTGCATAACAGTAAATTTTCTAATTTTTGTGTGAATAAAAATTCAAAATAAAAAGTAAGAGTAATATAAGAGGGGCCTGGAGGTGTGACTGATGAACAGAGAAAATGTTATTTTAGTGCCAGGAATGTCTGCATTGTTCATTCTGGACCCTAATTTGAAATTGGCATCTTTTTTAATTTTCATGAAATTGGTGAAATTACCAAATTCTGACTGCTTTATTGAGTAGCTGAAATCAGTAAATGGGCAGTTTCTTGTACTCAATCCATAGAACAAATGGAGCTCTAAAGAAATAGCTATGAATTTGGTTGACTGGAGCAATGGAATTGGCCGAAAATAGGGCTCAAAGTGAGTGAAATCGCTGTTGTGTAAATATCGCCATGATCGCTAACTTCGCGAAAGTGTAATTTCGTAAGTTTTCCATCAAATTTCAAACTTTTGGTGTCATCAACATTGAGAAAAGATTCTCTATCATTTCATAAGGCAAAATAATTTTTTTTTTTGTCGAAAATTTTGCGACACAGAGACATTTTAGGATTTGGGGTCGCTACAGTCAAAGGACTAATATCATTGTAATTTTTTTTATTACAATGAACTGTATAATGTACTGTACATATCTAATCTTTTCTTAAATAGGACAAGTTTACATTCTCCTTGGACAAAAGATTTGCTCTGAATGGAGGGTTCATGGGATTGCTCGAATGGATTCTCTTTGATAACTACAAACAGAGGTATGTGGTATTTTAGTTATCATTATGCATACACAGATGAAGCATTGTTATGTATGTTGATGTAGGCACAGGGATATAAAAAATT